TCCAATAACTGTTGATCAAAAAGGAATACCTGGTGAATGTGTTGTTCCATCAATGATTAATAGAATTGAAAATCTTCTTTTTACTGAAAAACCTCCTCATTATGATTGGATTATTGTTTTAGGTGGAATAAATGATTTAGCTTATAAAAGATCCGCTGAAACTATATTTAATCAAGGTTTAAAACAAATCTATGATATGATTCTTCAAAGAAAAAATCTCAATATAAAATTATCAGTTATGACTATTATTGAAAATGGTTTTTATGCACCAGAGAGTACCTATGATAAACAAAGACAAATTTTAAATGATATGATTAGAAATTATGTTAAAAATTGTCAAGATCAAAATCGTATATGTCTTATTGATATTGATAAATATATTAATTATCATTCAAATAAAGATATTAACCAACGAGATACTATTTGGGATGATTATGTTCATTTAACACCAGATGGATATGATCTTATGGGTAAAATTATTTTTGAAGAAATTTTTAATAAAATAAATCAACAATCATGAAATTTTTATTACTTTTTTTTTAATAGGAAGATTTTTAAAGATATGTTAAATAAATCAATGAGTTTTTTAGGCTTCTTTGAAAATTTCAGTAATAAGTGACTCACAACGATGAATTATGTTGATAAATTTCTGATCTTGATAATATGTGACAAGTAAACAGAGATTCATATCTAATGTTAATTCAACATTTTTAAACGAAACTTTCAATCGATTTCCCTCAAGTATAAAGGACATCACCGATTTTGGAAAAAGTTGTCCGAATTCAGTGAAATTTCGGCTGCTAATAGAAGTAAGTGTGATACATTCATCATTGAAATTTTCACCTTGATATGCCTTACTAAAGAGGAGTCATAGTCAAAATACATGTCTATGAAAATAATGCTAAAACCCGGAAAATGCTGTTTCGTACGATTTTCAAAAGAATCATTGCTTTTTAGATTTCATAGTATGAAAAAGATTTCGTAATATGTGGTTGGATAGAGCTTGGACTGGTCTATATTTTTATCTTTGTTTGAATATCTTCCAACATTTGTCGAAACATTTTTGAAATATGAAGAAAGTGAAGACCTTTATTTGTTTATTAAAACTTTGACTTTTTTACAAATAGTATATTTCAGGAATGTGGTTATACCTCGACAAGAGAACGTTGTCGCAAGATCAAGCTTTCCCAAAAATTGTATCTTACTGTGGACTACTAGTACTAAAAATTTTAAAATAAACGGTTTTGTCCGAACGAAGATATGCTTATATTAAGGTCACAAGGATACTAATAATTATTCATCTTTTGTTTGAAAAAAGAAAAAAAATTCTTATTTGACATTGATATTTGCTGAATTGAGGTTAGCTTTGTGGTCTTTATTGTCATCAATAGACAGATCGATATATTTAACTACTCTAAAAAGGCATTTGAATTCGAAAATCGTATAAAATACTTTATTCTTCGTTTGTCTTAAGAATGACTATATTTTCAATAGTCATTTCAGTCGATTAGAACCTAATTATAAAGGAATTATACCATGATCAAATGCTTTCGACGTAATTTGGGTGTCAAGTCGAATTAAGCACTTCACATTATACTTATTGCCAGACCGTACGAAAACATATTGACAGTTTTGGCGTGATTTTTCAAATACATATGTGATTTATTTCAAAATCTATATTTATTAAAAAACGATACAGAAAGTGAACAATATTATAATATTATCGATGTAGGTTATGTTCTTATAGTGTGTTTTGTTACAAGAATAGTAGTAAAGTGCTTGGACGTAATTTCGATAAGTAGGAATAGCGTGATCGTGATGATCAGAAAATGATAGATACCACACTACACAAGCAGTATGTGCACAAAATCCGACAGTTTTAGCTCCTACTTTACATTAACAATAGGCGGCTTTGATAGTATTAAATGGATCATTATTATCCGTATAGCCCTGTTCAGAGATGTTGACGGGTTAGCCCGTTTTGCTTCAACCCGCCCGACCTGTAACCCGCGGGCCGGGTTGGACCTCTGACGGGTCACGGGTTATATTTTTACGTGAACCCGCGGGTTTGACCCGATTCAACCCGTTTATGAATTTTGCTTTTTATCTTTAATTTTTTCTTTCTACATAGATTTACGCACACATTCATTTCATTTCTAACTTCCTCCGATAATTGATTTTGTGTTTTCCACTAATTCTTACTTTAATATCAAAAGTCTCTCTATCATTTGTATTGACTACATCTTGATTCTAGTCGTTCACTTAACTGTTTTGAAGCATACTCATACATGGATGCGCTTCTCGTTTGAAATTTGCTTGTACAAAATACTAAGTTCAATCGTTTTTTTTTGCATCTTCACATTTTCTCCGTTCGCTTCATCTTTTCTTAATATTTTTCCCGTTCATTCTGTCTTTTTAGTTTTTTCGAGCAGAGTGGCGCAACAAAAGAATCTATCTTTCCGTATGTATATCAGTTTTTATTATGGTTTGTAGGCAATACGCCAGCCAAACTTTTCTAACAAGTTCAGTTACTGTCGAAAGGCAGTTTCCTCAAGTTGTTCTTATTTATTGTGCTCGCAAATCACGTACAAAACCAGGCTTATTGAAAAGCTTGTTATTAGTTAGACCACTTTCCAAAACGGGAATGAATGATATATAGTCTACCTAATTCTCAATTTTTTTGAACTGCTGTTATTATTACCATAATAGGAGCTGCTATTTTTTTTCACATTGTGAACATGAGCATATGCTGTTACTTTCACTGGACTCTTTATCTTCCTGAGCTGAACTTCAAATTTTGTAATACTTATGTATATATTCACGGATAAAAGATAATATTTTGATGGTCAAAACATTTGTGTTAATAAGACGAATAAAAAAACGAATATATCGATCCACTAAACTTGTGAATTTTTCATAAATACTATCTCAATTAAATTTCCATTAACCTGCGGGCAGCCCGTGACGGGTTGAAGAATCGTCAACCCGTGAAGTAGCCCGCGGATCGAAAAAAATATCGCTCAACCCGTCAAGCGGGTCGGGTCAAAAAAATTACTCACCAACATCTCTGGTCCTGTTGATTATATTTTATCCAACAATAATATTGTTCACTAGAGTGATGTTGACTGTGAATATGACAGCGAATAATGTTCGGATGACGAGGATGTGTCTGTAAAACAAAGTCGCCATATCGTCCAACATGTTGTTATACATATATACGAGATTGCTTCAACTGATATGAACCGAAGAAACGTGTGAGGAGGTCACTCTTTTCAGTGTTTTATCTAGCGGGAGTTTTGGGACATTTAGTTCTCCCCCCCCCCCCGAAAACCGATTTTGTCTCCTCCCTCCGAGAAAAAACAAAGATGTTTTAAAAAAATCAATCTAACTTTTAAAAATTTTTCAAAAAACCCTAGATGTTGTCACTAAATATAAATATGTTAGCAGGAAAGAGTCGATTATAGTTTTTGAATATCGTACGTCTATTGCTTCTCATTATTTTCAATTTGATTGAAAATTTATTTTTTTCATGTCATTGCTTATAATATGATGAGGATGTGCATTTTTGTTTCTGTCTTTTCAGCATTCATATGAAGATAACGTCGTACAGGGTAACTTCTCTCGAATGAATAATATTGTACATGTAAACAAACAAATGTGTGTAATTTAATTACAAATCAAACAACATAACATTGCGTATAATACATATTAGATTAATCTTATAAGAATATTTAACTGAATGTGTTAGGTCTGTGTTACATTGATTGACTTCAAAAAATCAGAAATGTTTAAAATAAACACTTATATCTCTTTTTTTCGTTTATTCATTCATACTATAGCATCGTATTTTTGTACTTTTTTTTCTGTCTCATCTTTCAAATCAAACAGAGATTATAAACTTATCTTGGGAATGTCAAAACAAAGTTCTCTCGATAAATATTTTGGAAAAATAAAATAAAATAATGATGGTAATAAATTAGCAAAAAGGAGCGGTATTGAAAATGAAAATATCATTACTCAATCAAACACTATTGCAAACGACCCCTGTAATTTAATCAATAATAGTACAACAACTGATTTTCAATGTGTTGAAGACAACTCTTTTACAAGTAAAGTAGCTACACTACTAGTTCTAGACTCATTATCAATAGTTTTGAATAATCATTAGGTTCAACATCTATCTCCAACAACATTGGGAAACGTTCTTACAAGCCATCGTACACACAGAAATTTCTGTGGCTTCTTTACGAACCAAATGCCGGCGGATTTTGTCAAATATGCCGTAACTATTGGAAATCTATTACACCATTATTCCGGGATATGGAGCAAAAAACGAAAGGTGTATTTACTTCGACTCCATTTACTAACTGGAAAAAGGCACTAGGTGATAATAGAAAATTAATGAAACATTCTCGATCACCATATCGTTTAATGGCAATTGATAACGACATATTTCGACAACAAGAAGGTTTCGTTCTTAATCCAATAGTTATGGTAAGTGAAGCATAGAAGAAAGAAAATAGATATCATTTAAGTGATTTATTCGATTGTTGCTATTTTCTTTTCAAAAATGAATTACCACATACAACTTTGTACGATCCATTACTACAATTAACGGGTGGCCCATAAAGAACCGACCTCTGTGTATTTTTAAGATTTCTTCTCTATTACCCGTGTGATTAAAACATTTTTTTTATCAAAAGATAGAGCTTAAAATTCTGCACAAGATGGTATATTTTATTTAACGAATATAGTTTCCTCCATTCTTTTGTATTAAACGTAATCGTATAGTAAAATCAAGTACAGAATGTAAAGTTTTTCTTTTTCAATTTTTTTGACAGAACGTTTTATTTCGCCTATCAATGTTGCCTTTGTTGTGATGTTCTTCCAGTCCATAGATTTAGCTAGTTCATTCCATAAACTGTAACCCAATGGACATAAATCAGGCGAATTTGGTGGCCAACGATCCTCCGAAATAAAATCAGGAACATGATCAGGATTAGCACACCACTCTTGAGTCAGATGATGTATGTAAGGTTTTGCTCCATCTTGTTGATATGTCCAGTGGTTTCCTAACATATTGTTGCCGCATTTACGAGCTACTGGAAGAACTTCTTTAATGTACATTTCCGCATCCATAGTACCATCTTCAAAAATCACTGGTGTTGTTAAACCTTCACTACATACACCAAGCCATACCATCACCTTTGTTGGAAATTTTGTTTTTTGATGTATACCACCTTCTTTATCTGCCTCTTCCCTACTGACCGCCCATATACGATCATTCTGAACATTGTATACACCATCTAAATCAAAATATTTGTCATCAGTAAAAAGCCATTTTTTGGTGTCTTCCTTGGTATAATTATTTAACACCCAATTGGCAAATTTAACCCTCTTCCTTTTTCGAAGACCAGCCAATTTTGGTTGTTTGATTTTCTTGTATGAAAAACAACCAAGATTTTCACGTAATATTCGCTGTGCACTTGTTCTTGAAATATCCAATTTAGCAGCTAACCATCTTGTTTTCACCCGTTTCTTTTGAACTAGACGGTATTTAACCTTCGAGATATTGGCTTTTGTTCGAACTGTGCGTGGACGACCGGGAGTATATGATAAATTGATAGATCCGGTCTTGTTGAGCATCTGAATCCATGATTTAATTGTTGTTAATGAAACTACTCCACCTAAATCACGGTATATTTTTGTTGGACCATCACCATTTTCATGTTTATTTTTTACAGCTGTTGGTATATCTTTACTTTTCATCTTTTCTGGAATATATTTAAAGTGACTTTCAAGTCCACCCATACATATCTTTGTAGAGAATTTTAAGCGTCATCTTTTGATAAAAAAAGATATTTTAATCCCAGGGATAATAGAGGACAAACCTTAAAAATATACAGAGGTCGATTCTTTATGGGCCACCCGTTAGTTGATCGTCTTGATCCTAGTTCTAAACTCGCTGACTGTTTTCGACATTGCAAGAAAAATTCCACTTACAATTAGGGGTGGGAAGTTATCTTTACGTTCCCAGGTAACTGGGAACGGAAAAGTTACCAGATACCTGGGAACTGGTTACGGTCCCGTTACCGTTACCTGGGTAACTGGGAACGGTGGAGTTACCAGTTACTTTTTCCTGGTGACTTCTCAAAAAGATGAATTATCACTTCCAGTCGACCGAACATCGTCAATACATTTTTTATTCACTTGACCCTAGAGCCTTGCGGTTCTTAAAATTACCCGGAACCGAACCGGAACCGTCGGTTCCAATTTCGGTTCCTATACACTATTACAAAGTATGTTCATGAATGTGTTCATATAAGATTATTAATATTACAAACTTTTAAAATGAAATAATGAGAAAATACATTATTATAAAATATGTACAATTGAGACTATTAATATTACGAACTTTTAGCATAAATCTATGTCATCATCCTCTTTATCTTCGTAATCATCATCACTAAAAGTAAGATCATCTTCATTTTTTTTAAACTTCTTTGTTATTGTAACCTACGTGTAAAAAGTCTTTGCACAAAATATATGTTCAATTTTCTTTCACTTAATGGGTGCAGGAGACGATCAAAAGTAGTCAGCTGGAATGAGAATTTCATGCTCTTTCTAAATATATATTTAGAATTTTTTTCTGAGTTAAAGTTAATCCAGTAAGAGCAAATCTTCGATGGGGCCCAAAAACGACATTTGTACAAAACACTAGTTTCAAAGAACTTAGTAACTATGTTTACTCATTTTTCGGACATTTAACTGTAATTGAAGATGATCGAAACTAGTTAACTAGAACCAGAATTCGATACTCTTTTTAAATATATCCTTCAAACCAGCTCCTGGCTTGCGGTTAGTTAGCTATACACAAATACCTGATTAAATAAAAAATGTCGTTTGTGCCACATAAAATAAGCTTTTTTCTATGATGTGAAATTTCTCGAAAGAGTATTTTGGAATACTTTTTCTTTTCTAGTTTTACAGAGAATTTCATACTGTACAGAATCATGGATTACAATAAGTTATATCTCAAAACAGTCAAAATCTGAAAACAGTTTTCCAAATGCCACTGTGTAGATGAGATGACATTTTTCAAAATAACCGCATTTTGAGAATTTTGATATTTGCAATACAATAGATTCTGGCGCTTTTCGGCAATATGTGGAAAGCAAAGTAAATTGCTCATTTTGTAGAGCAAGCTTCGCTCTACAAACTAGCGTACAAAAAGGATTTCTTATAATTAGAATTGAGGCACTTTTTATCAGAGTACAAAAATGCACTACATCGAAAATTGTGTACAATCATCGTTTTTGGTTCCCATCCAAGATTTGCTCTTACTGGATTAACTTTAAACCAGAAAAAAATTCTGAATATATATTTAGAGAGAGCATGAAATTCTCATTCTAGCTGACTACTTTTGATTGTCTCCTGCGACCTTTAAGTGAAAGAAAATTGAACATATATTTGTGCAAAGACTTTTTACACGTAGGTTAGTAATATATTGTTCTTCATTTCTGTTCAAGATTGTAGAGAACGAGGGTGTGGGTGTGGGTGTGGGTGTGGGTGTGGGTGGGTGTGGGTGTGGGTGTGGGTGTGGGTGTGGGTGTGGGGTGTGGGTGTGGGTTGGTGCGGGTGTGAATTTTCTTTTAATCTATAACCACACCCACACCCACACCCACACCCACACACCCCACACCCACACCTACACCGATACCCACACCGCCACACCCACGCCCCACACCCATCCACTCCCACACCTTTTCACGACATTGTCTTTTCCCTCTTTCTCATAAACATTTTCTTATATGCTGAAGTT